CCCCTGTCCATCAGTACGATGACTCTGCCTGTCCTGTCTGTCCAACACCAGGTCAGCTCACCCTGAAGGCTTCCAGTGACTAATAAACAGCATTTTATTTGTCATTAATCCAGCATTGTTCTAAACGTAATGTATTATACTTTGCATTAAAGAAGCTGAAGTAAAGTGTGCTGTACTGCACTAGTTTTACACTCTAAATGTGCGAGTGGCGTTTTTTACAGTTTTATTAAGTGTTACACGGTAATCACAGTAGGAGCTTTGCATTTCTTTCCTTAAGAGGATAACGGTGAAATTGATCATGAAAAACAGGTACAGTGACGGCCACATCAGAGTTCTGTCGGGTTTTAAAGTGTCAATATAATAGTGCTCTAAGAGCTTTGATCTGTGGAGCTGCTCTGAACTATACTAGTGCTTTCAGTGTCTTCTCCACAGTCCTTTCAAACACTCCAGCTCATCTTTCAGGATGAATGTGAACTTCTCTGAGGAGTTCAGCTGGAGTGTGGTGAGCGCTCTGGCGCACTATGGTTGCCGTCGGATCATCCAGGTGGGGCTGCACACTGGGGGGGTGGAGGGGATCCCCATTAACCTGTAAAGCGCTATGAGTGGAGTGTCCAGAAAAGCGCTATATAAGTGTAAGGAATTATTATCATTATAATTATCAATAACAGCTCCCAGAGACCCAGGGAGGAGTGTTCATCACACACGCACACACCCCATCGAAATCAGCTTTCTGTCCAGCGTCAGGACAGGCTGCGATGAGCCTCTCTCTCTGCGATGAGCCCCTCTCTCTGCCATGAGGGAGCCCGACAGGCAGGAGTCCTGAGACGCACACGAGAGGATGGGCATCTGTCTGCGAAAGATACACATCTTGAACTTGAACACAGGGAGAGCTCCTGAACGCAGACAAGAGGTCCTGGAAACAGACGAGAGCTCCTGAACGCAGACAAGAGGTCCTGGAAACAGGTGAGAGCTCCTGAACGCAGACAAGAGGTCCTGGAAACAGGTGAGAGCTCCTGAACGCAGACAAGAGGTCCTGGAAACAGGTGAGAGCTCCTGAACGCAGACAAGAGGTCCTGGAAACAGGTGAGAGCTCCTGAACGCAGACAAGAGGTCCTGGAAACAGGTGAGAGCTCCTGAACGCAGACAAGAGGTCCTGGAAACAGGTGAGAGCTCCTGAACGCAGACAAGAGGTCCTGGAAACAGGTGAGAGCTCCTGGCCACAGAACAGGAGGAGCTCTTGAACACAGATGAGAGAGCTCTTGTGGACACAGGGGGTTCCACACAGAAGGTCCCTGGAGGAACCTCAGACCCACAGACACCACGCAGACTCCACACAGAAGGTCCCTGGAGGAACCTCAGACCCGCAGACACCACGCAGACTCCACACAGAAGGTACCTGGAGGAACCTCAGACCCACAGACTCCACACAGAAGGTACCTGGTGGTGGAGGGAGTCCCCATTACCTGTAAAGCGCTTTGAGTGGAGTGTCCGGAAAAGCGCTATATAAGTGTAAGCAATTATTATTATAATTAATTATTATTATTATTATTAAACCTCACGTCGACTCCACACAAAGGGGACCCTGATCTAGACTCGAGCCGGTGGAGCTGAGGGGGTGGAGGCGATAACCGCCCCCTCCTGGCTAAATACGAAAGACCCAGCGCGTTTACACTGCCGTGCCCGCTCGGAATCGGACCTCTCCGGAGTCACACTCCCTCCCGCTCAGAAACAGCAGAGTAAACTCCGGCCCCCGGCGCTTCATGACCTGCCTTGACTGCACTTCCCAGCTCCAGCAGGAGCATTCCGCGGCCGGTGTACAAGGAGGTCGGCGATAAACAGTTAACAGCCTAAATGAAACCAAAATAAACGTACCCCATCCGTAACCGACAGAAATATGCGCTTTAATATACGAGACGGATGTGTGTATATGCGTTGGTTGCATATTTCACGTTGAGTGTCGTTGTGTACGGTGACGCCCGAGACAAACTGCCGCCCTTGTGGGTGGACAATAAAGCTATATCTTTCCTTCTCTCTTTAAAACCAAAACCTCTTCCAGGAACACCTTCATAAGATGGCGGCCCTCACAGCGCAACCCCCCCCCCTCCCATCACCTTCTGCAACTGCCCTATTCGCTCTACGTTACCTGGAGCACGTACTCCCATCGTTACCCCGCCCCCTGACCCCGCTCGCTCCGCCCCCTTTCTCCCAACTAGTCGGTGCGAGCGGAGTCCCGGCTGCCCCGCGCCGCTACGCCTTTAATGGCAAGCGGGCCCCGCCCCCCGCCGTCACCCCGGGAGACCGAGGCCTAGCTGCCCGAGTTTCCTGCTCCCGCCCGGCCTCGCGTAGCGGCTCAGAACAAAAACACGGCGAGCAGGAGAGAGAGGGACGCAGCGAGCGCCCGGCCGAAAACACGACCCCCCCTCCCCCCCTCGGCAGAAACACGACAACGAGAACGCAGGCGGCCGCCGCCTGCTTTGGAGTTTAAACTCGGGACTTTTATTTAACTTTTTTTTTCTTCTTTAAGAAAAAACACGCCAGCAGTCCGGAGCGGAGGGGGGCGGAGAGACGGACACGCACGCAGACGGTCTCCGGTGTTTGGAAGAGCAGCGGAGCGACACCAGCCGCTGTCCGGCCCCCGCAGACCCCGCACCGCCCGGCGGAGACGCGGCTTCTCCTCGGCGGGGCTCCGGCGGAGGGGAGACGGCCGGGAGAGCCGGAGACGCCGCGACCTCAGCCTCCCCGTGAGTCCGGCTCCGCCGCCTCGCTGCCCCGCTGTCCGCGCACACGGCGCCGGGACAATAGTGAGCCAGCCCCGGGGGCCGCCGGGGTGGCTGGGGTGCCTGTTGTCGTTGTTGTTGTTTTGGGGGTACTGCGCCGTGATGGCGATGTGATGGCGTGTCTGTGTGGCCGCGGGGGGAGCGGGCTTGCAGGGGCTGTACAGACGGGGCCTCTCGCTGACCTGCCCCCCCGTAGGACCCCCGGGCCAGTCCGGGCTGGGGGGGCTGGGGGCGCC